TAAGGGGAGGTGTAAACTCAACGGGTTCGTCGCTGGGCAGTTCAAAGGAGTTGGCTAGCGATTATGCTAGTACGAATTACACACCTGGAGGGCAAGTAGTGAGAAAAATGACGGACAGGAGCCCGGATATACAAGTGGCTAGTGAAACAAGTGATGAGATAACAACAGGCTTGAGACCTAAGAAGATGAAGACAAGTCCAGGGACCACAAGAATCTCGGCCGCATATGCGGTAGCCCCAGGAATACGCAAAGACGTGGCAATAAATCATGGGAAAAAGGTAAGAGCTTTGGGTTCAAGGCTTTCGGAAATAATAATTGCTGAAGCAGGGAAGAAAAAACTATCGCAGGCATCACTGAAGGAAATTCAAGGAGTGAAGGAGGAATACCAGGAAATGGTAGATGAACTGGTCCTGGAGAACTCACTGCTACTGGGTAGACTTTGGGAATCTAGAGCAACGACCGAAATTAAGGAAATTGAACATAAACAGATAAAAACAAGTGCCAAATCTCAACCAGGGCCGTCAAAAACGGTTAATGCAAATGTTACGCTAGATGAGGAACTACAGGTGGAACAGATATCCCGAAACAGGAAAAGAAAAAATGTCAACAAAATTAAAAAACAGGTGCGTATTCAACAAATATCTGGCCAACCAGTGGACACAGAGGACACAACAGATGGAAATTCAGATGGGGGTTTCACTGTGGTCAACAACAAGCGTAAGGCAGGAAAACCAAGGAGAAAAGTCACATCTGATGTTACCAGTGGGGGTGAAACAGATGCATCTACCACCCGAAGAACACAGAAGCAGATCAGACAGGAAAAACTAGCAGCGCTTAAATGTATGGAACTGCAGAAGATATTTTCAGTGGTGATAAAAGGCAACGATGTGGACAGTACTAGGAAAATTATTTGGGCTGACATAGTCAAGAAAACAGGGGCAGCAAAAATAGCAAGACAAACAATCATTCAAAAAGGTGACACCAAGTTTATGAATATAATAGCAGCAGACAAGGACACATATACTGCTTTAAAACTCATCACTGAGGAAAGAACGGACGTACAACTAAAGCCAAGTAAATGGCCAATGGTGATGATTTATGATGTAGATAAAACGCTAACACCGGGGGAGATATCTCTGAACGTGTTGGCACAAAATACAACCTTGGGAAGCGTTATTCAAGAAGTGGCTTCCAACGTCATAAGGACCAAGAGACAAGGAAACGGTATGGTGGGTTTGTGAAATTCGACCAGACGTACATGCTAGGATACTTAGCTCAGGAAGAGTGTATCTAGGCATGTCCAACTGTAGGGTCTCTGAATATTTTGATTTTCAACAATGCTTTACGTGTCTAAAATACGGTCATAGAGAGGCGTTCTGTAAAGAAACCACTATGACCTGTACGCACAGTGGGGTTAAAGGCCATAAACACACTGCGTGTAATAAAAAAGAGGAACCACCAAAGTGTGCAAATTGCGGAGGCAATCATGTTGCACATTCAAAATTATGTATAGAACGAAAAAAGGCAATTGACAATGCAGTCAGAAGAACGGATTATAAGGACCCTACATGTCAATAACGCAAAAACATTTCCTCAGGATTGTACAGCTAAATATGAACGGACAGTTTATAGTAGCATAGCAACTGCGAGATTACTGCATAGAAAAACGGGTAGATATAGCTCTGGTAAAAGAACCTCCAACAAGGGGAGGTCGTATACCCGGACTTGACCACGTCCCGATAAGAACTATTATGGGAGCGGACAACGCCTCGGGCGCCGCAATAATAGTTTTTAATCCGAACTTGGAGGTTGTACGTATCAATACCCTATCCGAGAAAAACTTTGCCGTCGTTTCGGTGAAACAGAAAAACAGAAAGATTAATACATTTGTATCCGCTTACTTTAAATTTAATTTGTCCATTTCAACGTGCATAACCAAATTAAATAATATTCTAGCTGTACTAGGTTAATCGGAGCAGACACTAATGCACATTCAGACATGTGACACAGCCAAGGAAATAATCATACTGCAAGGGCAAAAGGCAAAAAAGTAGAGGAAATGATAAATGATGGATTACTGGTCGTACACAATCAACCAAATCAGCCAAACACATATTGTAGAACAAACATGGGTACATCGAATATAGACGTAACCTTGTCTTCGCAAGAGTTGTCACAGAATGTAAGAAACTGGAGGGTCAGAAAAGAAATCACAGATAGCGACCATCGATTAATATCTTTCACCCTATTAACAAACAATAACGGGGTTGTTAATCAAACACGCGAACGTCGACGTTATAAGGTAGACAAAGCGGATTGGAATAGTTTTAAAATGCATCTATTATAAGAAATTAGTGGTTACAAGCCAAATAGTACATTAGATGAGAGTGCAAAATCATTAGTCGATGCGATCACAAAGGCTTCAAAATCGTCAATTCCATTAAAAGGTAAGATCATTAGGAAACAATTACCCCCTTGGTGGACTCCTGAGTTAGCAGAATCCAACAAACCGGTCAACAAATTCCGGAAAACAAAAGACTACAAATCTTCTGATAGGAATGAATACAAAAAGATCAGAAATAGCCACCTATCCTTGACTCGAATGACACCATTCCATCGATGGAAGGAGTTCGCCAGCAATGCTAACTCAGATATGTGGGGAAAACTATACAAATGGATAAAGAAAGGAATCTCCTTGAACAACGTACAAACATCCTTAAAAACCCAGGATGGAAACTTCACAAGAACCCCTATGGAGACTGCTAATCTATTGTTAAAGACTCTCGTTCCTCATGACGGAAGTGAGAATACGCTATCGGAACCCCTACTAGAACCCATGGTGTACCATCTAACAGCTGAGGAGGTAAAAACAGCCATATGGAGAATTGGTCCTAAAAAAGTTCCTAGTGTTGATGGTATAACAGCAGCCATACTGCGTAAGGCGTGGCCGATTATACATCAACAGCTGACACACCTTTACAAAAGATGCTTGGAGAATTCAACCTTCCCCAACTGCTGGAAAGATGCGGAATTGGTAGTACTACTTAAGAACAAGGATAAAGACCCGACAGAACCAAAATCCTACAGACCGGTGAGCCTATTACCGACTCTTGCTAAGGTTCTTGAAACACTAATTATCACCAGACTAAAAGGAGAAATAGCAAAGAATCTTTCAGATGATCAACATGGGTTCACACCCCAGAAATCCACTCTCAGTGCGTTTAACTCGTTGCTGGGGTGGGTGGATTATAGATCCGAAAAATTAGTAGTCGGTGTATTTTTAGATATATTAGGTGCGTTTGATAATCTTCAATGGGATATACTGTTTGAAGATTTGACGAGCCTTGGAGCGGGAAGATACTCGCTCCAAATTATCAAGAGCTATCTCGAAAACAGAAAAGCCCACATAACTATAGAAAACTCCACAGCAAAATGTGTACTTAGTAAAGGGTGCCCGCAAGGCTCCTAACTAGGTCCAATTTTGTGGAATGTTTCTATGGACCAGGCACTCAAGACTCATACAACAGACAAAATAAAATTGGTAGCGTATGCTGATGACCTAGCTATCGCGGTTGCAGCTACGAGATTGCCAATAGCAAAAGAAAGGATTACTTCGATTTTAGATAGAATTTAATGGTGGGCAGAGGTTAGAGGCCTGTGTTTCTCGAGTCAGAAAACCCAGGTTATCACTTAAAAAGGTGGCCTAAAATCAGGATACAACATCACGTTTGGTAACGAAGTAATAGAATCCAGAAGCCCAGTTAGATATCTTGGAGTCCTCATAGACTACAAGAGAAACTACTAGGAACATATTCAGGAGATCTCGAAAAAATCAGAAACCATGTATAGTAGGATGAGAACTGCCACATCAGCAAATTGGGGTTTAAAGCAGACAACATCAAAAGTTATCTACAAGGCAGTATTTATACCTAGACTGGGATATGCAGTGTCAATATGGGACACTGCACTGACAACAGTGAAGGCAATAAAACTATGGTCTAACTGGGGCATACAAGACAACCTCAACTGATGCTCTGCAGGTAACGACAGGATGTCTGCCTCTAGACCTTGAGTTGAAATTGTTGGCAACAAGAGAGAAGGTAAGACTTGGTAAGCTACAACATGACTGCATAAAGGAGACTGAAGATGAGATATTGGAAATCTGGCAGAATAGATGGACCAATATCACCAAGGGTCGGTGGACATTTAAGTGGTTTCCAGACGTAAAATTTAGATACATCGTTCAGATAGAATTAGATCATTTCGTTACTCAGTTCATTACAGGTCATGGAGATTTCAAGGAAAAATTACATGGGTTTAAACTACAGGACTCACCGTTATGTGAATGTGGAGAACTTGAATCGGCGCGACATATACTCTTCGACTGTCCCAGGGTAAATTATCACAGGGATATACCAAGGCTCAAAATGACAAGAGATGGAGAAGAATGGCCTTGTGAGGTAATTGAATTTACTAGTGATGTTACGAACCCTGATTTTTAAAGTCGAACCGAACCCGAACCAAACTCTTCTTTAAATTAACGAACTCGAACAGATCTGAACCTACATATTTTTAATCGAACTCGAACCGAACCGAACTTATCAAATATTTTATCGAACTCGAACCGAACATTAAAAAAGTCCAAAGGTTAAAAATGTATTATTAATTTATTGTTTACTATTTGGTATTTAGTATTTACTATAAACTTATGATTATCTTATAAAATATAAAGTTGCTTGCTAGTAAACTTGCTAGTTGCTACTTTTTCCTATTATTTTTATTTACATTTTGTATCAAATTTTAAATTATATAATTAAATATTAATTTAAACATTGTCATGTAAGAACACCAATTTTTCAACTGATTGAGGTGATAACCTTTGTCTTCGAGCTGTAACCACTTGTTCTGCTTTGGAAAACATCCGTTCGCTACAAACTGATGTTCCTGGAATACTAAGGTACTTCAATGCAACAGGAACCAAACTTGAAAATTTTTCAGTATTAGTTTTCCACCATACAAGGGGGATTTGATGTAGGAGGAAGAAGTGGTTGATGCAAATATTCCTGTATCTAAAAAAATTAAAAAAATTCAAGTAGATAATCATATAATATTTTAATAATTAATATCTACTATTAAATATATAAGCAAGAAGTGATCTTACCTCATTTTTAACACAGCTTGTTAGTCCTTCATTGCCAGTACTGGAGATTGATCGCTCTTGAAGAATAGCCCACAGTGAATTTGTCGGAACAGGTACTGTTATGGGTTGTATATTTTGTTCAGTTGTTTCTAGTTTTGTATCACTTGTTAATTTAAAACTCTCAACTTCTGTTGTAAGCAAACGTTTTACATTTTCTACTTCATATGATTCCATAAGTATAGTTTTAAATCTAGGATCAATTGCTGTTGCTAGTAAGTATGCTGGGTCATTTTTGCATACTTGAAATCTATTAGATATAGATTTTTTTCAAGCTTCTAGCAAATCCTAATCCTACTGCTGTATTGCTATTTTTCACAATAAAATTGTTTAATTTTGTTGCTATGGTATATATTATTGGGTTTACCATTGCAAATGTTGGTATATCTTCTTGGCTAAATTCCTTTGTTGCTTCAAGAACAGGCTTTAATATTTCAACATATCCATTAATAAGTTTCCACTCTCCTACTGTAATATCAATGTCTTTTACCCAGTTTTGCAAATCCAAAACAATTGCTTCTTTTTGTTCTATTATGCGCTCCAACATTAAAAACACACTGTTCCAACGAGTCTCGACCATTTGTATGAGCTTATGGTTTGGAAGATTTAATCGAACTTGAATTTGTTGTAAACGTTCACAAGATTTGTTACTGTAGTTATAATGAGTTACAATTGAACGACACTTTTTTAATAAACTTTCCATATTATTTTCTTTTAAAGCATCTTGGATGGCCAATTGTAATGTGTGGGCTGCACAAAAATAGTGATGTAAGTTATCATTGGAATTATATTTATTTAATGCACAACTTATATTTCTTGCATTGTCTGTGACCATATAAATAGGAATATTTAAACTTAAAATATCCATGTTCCATTCACTAACCATAGATTTAATTTTAAGAAAAATACTTTTTCCATGATGTTCACCTGGAAAGTATGAACATCCTAGTGTTTTGTTACGAAGCTCAAATTGTTTTGTTAAATAATGTGTTGTTAGTGATATATATGGTTGTTGAGCCCCACTTATCCATATATTAAAAGTAAATGATATGGATTGCATACTATTCAATTCAGTGTTAATTTCTTCTTTGAGTAGAGATAATTTTTTTGAATACAGCCGAGGAATTGCAGTAGAAGCTAAATATTGTCTTTTGGGTAATTTATACTTGCTCTCTAATGTGTACATTAAGTTCTTAAATCCACGGTCTTCGACAATCGAGTATGGTTGGTAATCTAACGCAATCATTTCACTTATATTTTGGGTAATTAATTTAGCTCTTGCACTGTTTTGTGATAAATATGATTTTGAGTTGAATGAATCTTGAATTTTGTTTTGTTTCTGTGTAGTGTCTTCAATTTTTCTCTTCAATGCTTCTTTTTTTATTTTTTTTTTCCTCATTACATGCTTGATATTCAGAATATTTTTTAGTGTGGATTTTAAGATGCCTTACTAGAGTGGTTGTTGTTGATGAAGGACTTTTTAATACTTTTTTTACAAGTATTACACATAGATTGATTATTGCTTATTTTGTTAAAAAAATTTAAACTATAAATCAACCTTTGATTCATTGTATGGTCTTCCTCTACTTCTTCTGTTGTCATCAGACTTTCTTCATGCTGTTCATTTATAAGTTCAGTTGTCTCTGGGTCTGGATCATCAATTTGAAAATTATTATCATTACTACCTTGAATATCATCAGATTGACTGGATCTCATTAACTGCTCAAATGCATTAATCCTCTTAGCCATAGTCAGTATATATTAAAATTACAATAAATCTATAATAATAGAATAAAACTTAAAAGATAAATTTTAAAATTTAGTTTTAAATATGATTTAAGATTTTTAATTGATACTCTAATAGGTAAATAATTAATTGACAATTTTGCTTACATGGATACACAATACGATACGAATCTACAATGAATATATTATTATTTAAAAACTTATAAGTGTAGAGCGGTATACAGTTGAATAATTATAAATAGATGAATTATATATTATTGTTTAATTTATTCGTTGACAAATCACAATTAAAATAATTAACAGCACAATAAAATTGAAAAAAACAACACACAGACGCACAGGAACGATGCCGTGCTTGTGTTAACCGTCTGAGCGCGACGGATCAGCGGTCGATACTGACTAGTGACTATATTGACAATTGACATTGACGTACGGCGTCGGCCCGTGCGTCTTATCATATAAAATATAATATAATAATATTAATAATAATAATATTACTACAGCTCGGCCATATCTGACTTAATAGATCGTCCTCGATCTGTACATATAAAATAAAAATAAAAGTAAACAATTGTATAAATAATACTGAAAAGAATGTAATAGAGATGAAAAATAACAAAAAAAAAAAAAAAAAATATAAAAATATAATCATATATAACATAACCAATATAAATTATATCGTATAATTAATCAGAATCGATAAGATGTACAAAAAAAAAAAAAAAAAATTATAACAAAATTAGAATTTAACCCAGTGTTTGATATCCCTTGCTGCGATTATAGTGTTTAGTGGGGTTTGAGTCACTTGGTGCCCTTCGATGTCAGATATGACATATCGGTCATGGGGAAGTACTTTATTTATTTTATAAGGCCCTTTGAATTTGGGTAAAAGTTTTTTACATGTATTAGGTGTAGTGTCAACATTTTTAATCATGACATACTCACCTACTGTATATTTAGTAGCTACTTGTTTGGTTGAATCATAATAAGCTTTATTATGAAGTTGGCCTACCCGAATATTATCCTGAGCATCAAGCCTAAACTTATTAAAATCACGAGGGTTATCATTAATGTCATCAATTTTATTTAAGGCTTGTAAATATAATCGAACATAATCGTTTTGCTCACCTACTTGGTCTATGCCAAATACAATTTTGCTCGGTGTGTTTTGAATTGAGCGATTAATTGTGTTGTTTATTGCAAACTGAATTTTAGATAAATGTTCGTTCCAATCTTTGTTATGTTCATGCATTAATTTGGATAACATTATTGCTAGTCCTCTATTATACCTCTCGACCTGTCCATTCGCTGATGGTGACCCTACAGCGGTTTTTATGTGTTTTATTTCATGGGTTTGGCAAAATTCTTGAAATATTTCTGAACGGAAACAAGACCCACGGTCGGATATTATTTTAAGAGGTTTACTGTAATATTTGAAATATTGTGATAATTTGGAGCATGTTTCTTTTGCTGTTACCGTACGTACAGGATATAGAATTAAGAACTTGCTGAATGCATCGACTACGACTAGGATATGCTTAAATCGACCTTTAGTTTGATTCAGGGGGCCAAAATGATCTACATGTATGGTTTGGAATGGTTTATCCCCTTTGTCGATTAAATTTAACAATCCTTCACCCTTGCCTGCTTTTGGGGAAAATATTACACATTTAAGGCAGTTGCTTATATATTTTTTGACATGTTTAGTTAGTTTTGGAAACCAGTATATTTGTTTGATTAACTCAATAGTTTTATTTTCACCTACATGGCACATTTCATCGTGGCAGGAACGAATGACTTGCTCACGCATATCTGCTGGGACATAGAATAGCAAACGATCATTACTTTTACGATACACGAGCCCATTGCGTAGCTCGAATAACGGGTGTTCTGATTTTTCGAGATATTCAAAAATAATTTTAATATCCGGGTCAGTTCCTTGTTTAACGGCAAGAGTTTGATTAAAATTGCAAGCTTCTAAAACAAGAATATGTTTACTACAACGACTCAGCGCATCAACGTGTTGCATGCGTGATCCTGGGCGGTGTTCAATATCGTAAGAATAATTTTGAAGGAACATAGCCCCACCTAGCTATACAAGGGTTTATATCCTTTCGTTGTAGAGTTAACGTTATACTGTTACAATCAGTAACTATTTTAAAATGTATTCCTAATAAATAAACATGAAAGCGTTTAATAGCATTGATAATAGCCAACATTTCTAGTTCGTAACTATGATATCGTGATTCAGTTTCCGTAATTCTGTGACTATAATAAAATATTGGATGAAATTTGTCATCAGCCTGCTTTTGAAGTAAAATAGCACCGTACCCATGACTGCTAGCATCGCAGTGAAGCTCTGTAGTTGCTTTTGGGTCGCAAATTGATAATAAAGGCTGTGCTCCCAATTTTTCCTTAATACAATCAACTGATTTTAATTGTTCTTCACCCATCTCAAAATTGGCTCCTTTTTAAGTAGGCTGTAGAGAGGTTTAGCTATGATTGCGAAATCTGGGACGAAACGTCGAAAATAAGAAGCTAAGCCAATAAAGCTTTGGAGTTCTCTTTGGTTTTTTGGGACCGGATAATTTTGAACAGCACAAATATTTTTGGGATTTGGTTGAATACCGAATTGACTCACACTATAACCAAGATAAATTACTTTGTTTTTGAGAAATTCACTTTTGTCTAAGCGTATTTCAAGTTGATTGTTTTTCATAACACGTAAAACTTTGGTAAGCAATTCGAAATGTTCTTCGATAGACTCGGTAGCTATCATAATGTCGTCGAAGTAAACAATAATTTCTTTTTTATGAATAAACTCACTAAAAATATTTTGAATAAATCTACTGAAACATGAGGGACCTGTAGTCAAACCAAATGGTATTTTTAAGAATTCGAATTGACCTAAAGGCGTTATAAATGACGTATACTTTATAGAGTCTTGGGCCACATTAATATGATGGAACCCATCTTTAAGGTCTAGACAAGTAAAGTATTTTTTTCCCTCGTACTAGATCTTTATTATCGTCTATTAAAGGAAGTGGGAACCTATCCTTTACAATAAATTTGTTAAGTTCGCGATAATCGACGCATAATCTAAGTTCACCATTTTTCTTTTTAACTAAGACTATAGGGCTGCTGTACCCGGATTTACTAGGTCTAATAATTTTTTTATTCAACATGTTGTCTAATATTTTTTGGAGGCACTCTTTTTCGTAAAAAGAAAGACGTCGTGGCCTAAAATAAAATTGTTTGTCGTTTTTTAACTGGATACTCATTTCTGGATGGGTATAATTATCATCATGATTTATAGCACTATCGGTTAGATACGAATCTTTAAAAATTTGTTCGATTCTTGTTTTAATATTTACTGGTGATGATTCTTCTATATTTAAATTAATATCTAGAACACCATTTTCATCATCTTTAAAATTAATAGATAAAATTTCTTCAAATGAAATATTGTTACCTTTTTTGAAATTAATTAGAAATTCTCCATTTTCAACACTTAAAATTATACGAGGGTGAGATAGAAAGTTTTGACCCAACAGTCACTTTTTATGGTATCGTTGGGCACCACATGAAAATTAATATTAATAGGAGTGTCGAGATCAGCGTGCGAAATATCTGCAGAGAATTGATCAACAATGGTAAGTTTAGATTTATTGATACCAATTAGATCTGACTTGGGTGGTATATTTCCAGATATATAAGGAACAATAGTAGATTTCAAAAGGCTAACGGAGCTACCTGTATCGACAAGTGCAGTTACATTAGACAAGACACCATTCGGGTACTTAATAGTAATACTTATCATATAAGGGGGTACAATACATTGGGGTGACCTTTCTAAAAGTGATACATTCTCACCAACTCCATCATTCTGCCGGCTACTACGAGAGTTAGGGCATCTCCGTTCTGAGTGACCCAAATTATTACATCTTTGACAGGTACGGGTCGGGCACACATTCGTGAAGTGTCCAATTGTTTTACAACTAAAACATGTGACTTGTGACAGCTCTCTCTGCTTGCGGGTATTCGATGATTTTGCCAGTGGTTGCACCTTAGTTGTTTCTCCTATAACTGGCTGATGATTCTTGATCGGATGTTGATATAATTTATTATGGTTACTTTGGTTGTCACTGTCGCCTGAGGTCTTAGTATACTCTCCTACTCGAAAACGATTAATACGAGCAACGTTCACTGAATCGTATGCACGTAGATCAGATAAAAGATCGTTTTCACTCAAGTGATCACGTGCCAACAAATAGTTACAGAGATCACGGGAATATAGACCCTCGACGATCTGACGTTTTTCTTCGCGGAATGACAATCCAATTTCACGACAAAGTCTAGACTTGTGGTGGAAATATTCAAACACACATTCGTTTTTTACTTGAACACGGTTAGACATAATACGAACTCGATCGACGGTGTCAAGTGTATGTCCAATAAACGTATTCTTAAATTGGTCGACGAAGCTACTCCATGACGTGAATGTACGGCCAATGTACCAGTTGCGAGACGGGCCAACTAACTTAGTCCGAATAATTTCCATTTTGAAGCTTTCTGGCCATCCATGGATCCTGGCGACACTTTCGACTGAGTTGATCCATAATTGGGTTTCTTGGCTTGCTTCTCGTCCTGAGA